CGTTCAAGAAAAGCCAGATTCTATATGGCTACTGCAGTTCAAATCCCCAGCCAGACTATCCCGAGACACACTAGGCATGCAGGCAAGTGCCCAAGATCCAACGGACTGGAGGCAGGAGACCATGACATGACCAGATCCTATGGAGAGTGCACATCTTCCTCTCTCTCTCCCTCCCTCTCTCTCTCCCTTCCTCTCTCTCTCTTCCTCTTATGTTCATGTGCACAGACTCAATCACGAATTTAATAAAAAGAAAGTTTTACCCAGAAGAAACTAAGAAAAATCAATGTCTTATTATCATCCTTAAGAACTGAGTTCAAGGCCTAGCCACAATGGCATTTTGTGTGTGACTGTGGCCACCTGAGGGGCCAGATTTGGATTCCAGATCAACCAGAATGGGTTGAGTATGAGAGTATATGCCTGTAATCCTAGGTAACCAGGAGACTGGGACAGAGGACCACAATGGTAAGGCTCTGTCAAAAATACCTTTCGTCCTCTCTTTTGCTCTATCCCTCCTTTCTTTCAAACAAACAAAACTGAGATTTAAAAATACTGTCAGGGACTAAAACTTTATAGAAATAAAAAAAATTTTTTTTTTTTTTTTGAAAGGTTTTTGCTACAGGGCACGTGCAGTCGCCAGAAAGACAGAGAGAGACATAGAGACAGAAGGCGAGAACCCCCCAGAGGGGATGGCTACGCCACAATCCCTTCTCCTCTCGGGATCTTGGGCACGCATGCACACACGCCAAGTGTGAGTTTAAGCCACCGGGTCCAGGACTCGAACCGCAGTTGACTACGCGGGAGTCCAGTGACATAGCCATTATACCAACTGCTGGTCCCATCCAATAGGCAAATCTAGGGGGCAGAAAGTAGATTAGCATTTTCCTAGGGTTCCCGCTGAAATACATGAGACACATCCAGAAGCCTAATGGGCTGGAGGAAAAAGGATCAGGGTATGACCAGGCCCTTTTCAGGGGTGCTTATCCTCACCTCACACCTTCACATATGTGCCCTCTGGCAATAAATAAACTTTTTAAAAGGGTGAATTTTATAGTATGTGGAAAAAGAAAAAAAGAACAAGTAGTGGCCAAGTTGATGGAATATTCTCATAACAAAGACAATTTTAAATTGGGCTTGTAGAACAGGGACCAGCAGATGGCATGATGGTTACATCATAGGACTCCCATGTAGTCGACTGTGGTTCGAGAGTCCCAGACCCTAAGGCTTAACACTCACCCTGGGTGCACATGTCCAAAATCTCAAGAGGAAAATGGAGAAGAGACTGTGGCGTGGCCATCTCTCCTGGGGGGAGATTTCTCACTTTCTGCTTCTGTCTCTGTCTCTCCAGCAAGAGCACATGTCTTTTAGCAAAAATCTGTCTCTAAAACGATGTTAAAAATAAATAAATAATAAAGTAGCCTTGTAGAATGAAGTCCACAAGGCAGGCCCTCCTGACTGGGCCCCTAAACAGATACAGTAGGAGGGAAGTCAGGAGGTGCTAAGTGCTAGGAAGAACAGAAAAACAGTACAGCGAGAGTTCTGGTGGCAAAGCCTTCTTACTTAGATAAAGTGGGCAAGAAAGTCCTCCCTGATAAAGTGACACTAGTTAAAACCTGAAGGAGTTAAGGAACTGAACAATACCAGTATTTCTGAGTGCTTCTGGGGAACTTTGCCCACTGTACCCCAAACTAGCCAAACTAGCCTTCTCTCTGAAGCACGTACTTCCTCCCTTCAAGTCTGACACTATCCCTCTTTCCCACACGCTCTTCTCTTCTTCCTCTGGCTAACTCCTCCTCTTGCAGCTCCTGGCAACAGCAGGAACGGTCAAGGACTGAGGGGTGATCTGCGTCTTCGGAGAGCAATTTACAGGCGATTCTCTCGGAAGCCTTCCTTGCCCCGTTTTCTTTCATCGCTCCCAGTACTGGCTTCAATTGTAATGGTTCGGATTATGGGTCACTTCTAACGTCTGATGCCCTCCTGACAAGCTCAAGGAGGGCAGAGCACTGACAAACCCCAGAGCCTTGCACCACGCCCGGCACATAATAGGGTAGTTGGCGTGGGAGTCCTGGGTTCAAAGCCCGGCTGCCCGGGTGGGGTAGGAGACCTGGATTCCAGGCCTCGCTTCAACAAGGGATCTGTACGCAGGAGCCTGGCCGTTGTGGTTTCTGCGGCACCAGGGAAAGGCTGTGGGACTGAGGGACTGACCAGCAGTGAGGTCTGCAGTCTCTCAGAGTTGCCCCGCGCGGAGTCCCCGGCTCCACACACTTAGTACCCCGCAGTGGCGCTGGGGATCACTGGACTTAGGGCCCCCAGTCCCCAACGGCGCATTTCCAACCCCGAGGTGCGACCTGTAGGTTCCGGGTGATAAGGTGCAGCTTCTCTTCAGGGCTGGGAGCGTCCCCCATGGCTCCGTAACTCCTGCTTCCCGATGTCAGCCCGGCACCCGCGCCCCTTCCTAGGTCGCCGCCGCCGCGTGCCGGGAACTGTCACGCGAGTCCAGCCGAGTTGCATCAGCTGAGCTCGTCGCTCGGCTTGCTCGGCCTGGCCCTTTCTCCGCCCTGCAACACCGGGGGGAGAGGCGGGAGCAGCGGAGTGTCGAGC